CACACATGCTATCTTCCTCAAACTCTCTCATTCTTAAAACTCTTTTTTCTGCCCTTCTGAATTTTATACTTGCATCTAAGGAGGAAGGTAATGTATCTCTGTCTAACTCCCAACTAGTTGTAGATTTTGGGAACAAAATTCTAAACCTTTCTCCCAATGGCATGACACCCCATCCAGACTATGCGTTTTTTCCATATATGGTAGCACTGCCTGCCAGTAGTTACATTTTGGAAGGTCTTCTATGAAATACATAGGTTATTAAGTTAGTTGTTAATTGATATGCCAGAGGACGATTTATTTTTCCATTTCCCTCATCCCATATCATCTAAGAAAAAATAGTGTTTACCCTTTTTGCTCATGGCTCATGTCCTTGCCCTCCATGTGGAAAATTGCCATCCCTCGATCCCTACAAGTCTGAATAAATAAGGCTATTGCAGCTAGATGGATAGAGTTGAATTCCTTTGTAAAGCAACATAAACATTTTAGTCATATATTAGCATTGGAAACCTGGACTGTATATTACACAAATAAGCATTCTATATTGCCTATAGATTAAAAATAAAGTGATAGGTACCTGAATCTTCACGGAATATAAAGAAAGTATTAAATTATAAAAATTCACAGTGGGCTGCTTCACAACACAGGGATGAGTGTTTTGTCTCTGCTCGAGACTTTTTCCTCAGTCTTTACGGCATCTCAGTGGCTTACGGCATCTCTTACACTCACTGATACCGAGAGCAGGATTCATCGCCTGGCAGGCTTTTTCGGTGTGCTCCCTTCCTCCGGCAACTGGCAGGCGAACAGGGTAAGTCATTGGGGTCTCTCAGTGATTTAGACGGACTTGGGTTTTCTCCTTCTACACCCTTAGCCATCTCCACCTTGCCGGACGGGTTTAAGAGCTCCAAATCTCCCCCAGGTTGGTGATCTCCTCTATCCTGAATTTTTCATCAGCATTTACACCAAGTTTGTTTTGCCTTCAGACTTGTGGATTTATTAGAGTATCCGATTTATTTTTTGGGTGATTACTCCAGAGGGAGGGCCCCCCTGCTGGAGTTTATACTGAGACTATCATATCCAAACTTGTATATCCTGCTGAATTATATCAGCTACTTTCAGACTGACACTTATGTATCAGTGATTGATGTGTATCGTTTTAGTTTGTATCCAATTTGTAGTGCACTTATTTTATAAATTAATAAATATATTTATGCACATTCTTATAATAGTTTAGACGGGTTTTATCAATTATTTACCATGCTTTATTCTTTGAATTATCTATATGGTAATTTTTCTTTGCTGTTTTTATTGTTTAATTTAATTCTTCTTAATTTATACATTGTGCATTTATTTATTGGATCTAATACTTATTTTTAAATTGACTTTTTCTTTTATCTGATTACCTATTAGAGATAATTGTCCACAAGATACTTATTGTTTTAGTTGAATGACGGAGCTGTACTTGTAAGTGAATAGAAGGGTGAAGGGGAATAAATAGAAATACCCATATATACCCTATATAAGCCACTGCTAGTTGTATTTAATAGCAGCAAAGGAATGTCCCTTAAACAAAAAACACTGTCACCACAGGGATTGAATGAAGGTTTTTCATTCTCATCATTTTTGTAGACTGATAGGTATTTCCACCAACAGTTTCTATACAACCATCTGATCGTTTGCGGTCTGTAAATATGTAAATAAGTCAATAATAAAAAATTCTCTTTTTCGCTTCCTCTTTTGCATTAGTCACATGGTTCCTAATAGGTTTCATACCTTGAGCGCCTTATTTGATTATTTTTTTTTCTCTCACATTAGGTAGCACTTAGGTAGTTAGTATGTTTGATTTAGTTAGTTAGTATAGTTAGCAATTTATTATTTGGCATTTAGAGTTTTTTCTAGGCAGGCATTTTTTGGTCCTGGGGGGTCTCCTCTGGACTTAGGGCTTGTCCTTAGTGGGTCTGCCCCTGTCCTCCTTTCACTCTCTTTTCTCCTATTCATGTTTGTATAGGCTCCTGTTTGCCCGCCTTTATATTAGTGGGGTGATTTATGTATTACACATATTTTGTGTTGCCTTATTTTATTTTTGCAGCTTAGGTGTCCTAATTTTGGACATTTTTTTCTAGTATGAATGCTAGAGTCTCTCTCTTTTTTTTTTTTGTTAAAGGGACATTCCTTTGCTGCTATTAAATAAATACAACTAGCAGTGGCTTATATAGGGTATATATGGGTATTTCTATTTATTCCCCTTCACCCTTTTATCCACTTACAAGTACAGCCCTCTGTTCTTCTCTACTTGCCACCTGGTAACTATACTATTTATTCTGTTAAGTTCAGCAGCTACTTCTGGGATCCCCTTGTTTCAAGGGTGTCCGTCATTCAACTATATTTCTTTCTTGGTTACCCCCTATATTGTAGCTCTGAGGTAGGCTCTTTTTAAGACAGTTCTCACCAATTCACATATTTTTGTGATTATGGGGATCTGTCTTTTCATTCCTTTTTATACTTATTGTTTTATCTTCTGTATTATCCTAATGAAACTTATATATTATACATAAGAGTTATATTGCTCTTCCGTAATTGGTACGTGTTTAGGGTCAATTTGGAGCGCACACACACACTTATATTTTATTTTCTATAATGCCTGTTGCCATTCTCGAGCACCCATTGTACTCTGCTAGCTATGTGCTGACTAAGTGACTTGACCAATGCCTCTCACTTTTGACCAACCGAATATCCCTTCCATGTTGTCCCCCAGTATCTTTACTATACTAAGATTACAATCCATTTGGGATACCTAGCATATCCTTCTTATGTTTTTTTTACATGTTATTATGTGACTTATTTTATTTGTACCTGAGCTACCGTGTGTTACCAGTACTCAAAGGACCAGTTTGGGCACCATCACAACTTCTCGAGAAAGGATTAACTCCTTCAGGTAAGAAAGCACCAGGGGCCTCCTGGCACCAAAACAACTTAACTTAGCTGAAGTTGTTCTGAAGTCCAACATGTTCCTTTGACTTTGAATACTATATTTTTCTTCTTCGGTACTGGACAACAACATGATAAAAGGTGTATTTTTGTCATGCTTTACGTATGTATGCAAATTTATTTCTTGATTATATATGCTATTGTTGGTGTTATTTGAAAACTTAAATATAAACGCAGTGAAAAAAATATTGAGCAAGAATGCATGTATTACATACCACACGTGCCTGCTTAATAATTTCTTGTGGAACTAGTGAACACTTGAATGCTACTCTAACAAGCTCAAGATAAGAAAAAAAAAAACTCTGAATTGAATGGCAATTATCTCATTTATTTATATGATCAGTTACCATTTTACAATAGCAGGATTAGGCATATCTGAGCAGCTAGTTTCTACTAGCAATCAGGGAGCAGGTGCTTCTTGGATGTGAATATCTGACTTGACTTTTTGTTTGATTCCCTCGCGTTAAAACCACAAAGATGAATTTAGGTTGCTTGTTTTGTTTGCTATTTATTTATTTATTTTAAGCTAAATTTAGACACACATAGGTGAGCTATTTTAGTATGATTGTAAATGCAGTATCTTGCAGTACTTTTATTATAGGGTTGCAGTCTCAATGTACAATTTTCTTTACTGAAATGTGAAAACAAATACATTAGATAAGTAAAAATAATGAGCACACAGAACAGAAGAACATTTAAAAATAGAAATAAAAAAGTAACGAAACATGACTTACATTGTTTTTAAAAGCTGTGTTGCCTTTTAAATTATGATGGAATGTCAGCACCATCTAGTGGTTAGTTTGAGATATTACAATTGTTGTTAACCTTTCTCCACATTCACCCCTTAGTGAGAAAGTGTTTTGTTTTCTGGTGTTATTAGTATAAAATTCCATATGATTCGGTGCTTGCCTATATGTCATGAAGATTTATGGTAGTTATAGTTCAATAGTTGTGGTGTAGTCCTAGGAAAGATATTAACCATGCAGTGTTTAAACACAAACCTGGTTCTGTCAATATTCTGTAGTTGTAGTTTTTTGTTTTACTTTCAGTTTATGCCAAGGAAGTAGTGACAGGTTATAATAGGAGAATCTTCTTGTCATTTGATCTACTTCTTAAATGTTGATATATGTACATTCATCTATGTGTCTATCTTTGTTAATCTTTGTGGAATATATGTATGCATCCACAAACTGACGGGAACATGCATCAATTATTACAGTTAGCACTTACGGAAGTTTTTTAAATAGTCTATATAAGGTTTTCTAAACAGTCTATGTACACGCCATTATTTGTGGATGTTCTTTCCTTTAGAACTCATTGGGCATAATCCCCTGGTTTTGTTCTACATCCTTTGGGTGTTTGTCCGACTGAGCAAAATATTAATATTTTGTGGAATGGACCAGCACCTTAGTCACATCTGGCATTAAGTAGGGTCGGATGTGTGCAATGTTTTTGAGATGGAAGCATCAGGATTTGGCGATAGATTGAACATGAGGCGTGAAGGAGAGGTCGGAGTCAAAGAGAACACCTAGGCAGCGAGCCTGTGTGGTAGAGCTGATGGTAGCACCGTTGACTTGGAGGGAGACAGACAAAGGAGTAGCAACACTTGAGGGAGGAAAGACCAGAATTTCAGTTTTGGATCTCTCGACTTGAAAGCTGGTATTACCTAGATAGTATATCGAAGTGTTTGAGTCTATTGTTTCTCATCAAATGCTTAATGCAAGTAATATTCTTATTCTTCCAATTAGTTAAAGATATGTTTTCAATTTCCATTTCAATAACATCAATGTCTTGGAAGTTAAATAGTTTATCGTTAACGTTTAATCTATTTCCCAAGTTGGGATAATCTGTTTTAATACAAAAGAAGAAGAATATTTATCCTCTTTGGAATACCAGATTAGTCTAGAAAGATCCTTAATGTTACTAATGTCAGACTCTTGTCTATACCAGTGTTTGGATTTTGATTGTTCCTTAAACATTAAAGCTACGTGTAGAGGGGGCGAGTCGGGATCGCCATGCTGACCGGTCGCATGCAGGAGAGGCTCCAGAGAAATCTGGCCTCTTTGGCTACAATTTGCAGCCCTGGTACTTGTAACAAGCCCATGAGACATCCACACGGGGGTGGAAGAAGTGGCAGACCCCGAGATCGTGACTTTTGGGTCCCAGGAGGGAAGCACAAAGCTTTGGGGGCTGTGGCCTATTCGGGGGGGGAGCGGGGTGGACGGCCCTCCCCGGCTGCCACACACTGGCATCCTGAGATGCCTGCCGGTCCTGTTTCACCCCCCCATGGACCAGGGGGGTTATCCCAGTCCCAACTGCGGAGAGCTCGAGATGTGTGGAGACCAGGTGGCGTGGAACTCCCAAGGCCTTCCTTACAAGATGGCAGCAGCTCCGTGCTCGGTACCAATGGCACATGCCTTGTGAAGCTCCAGAGGAGGGAAGTCACACCACCCACCATAACGAACGACCACAAAAGAAAAACCAGCGAGACACGCCGGACACAGCATAAAAACAGCGGTGTGCAGTTCCCCTGATTCCTGCAGTACACCGAAGCGCAGTTATGGCTCACAACAAACCTAATTTGGGCCCCTGAACGGAACCGGACCCTTTACAAGGTCCATTCCTGATGGTGGTCCTGTCCCCAGTTGTTGTGGAAAGCTGGCAGAGCATCTTAGAAGATGTAGTTCCACAGCAGCTGGAGAGCTACCTGTTGGCTACCCAAATGTTAGTGTCTAAAATATCTTCATGCCATCTTCATATGTATATGTTGCTAAACTTGCACAGCACAAACTGGACTGAGCACAGTCATTAAAAAAATAACACAGGATTTTCTTTCTCCAAACAGTAAACAAAAATATGTTTAACAACTGTATAATGGTGTTAAAACAGGATCAATGACAAAATACTTGTAAATCTCCTATGCCCCACTTAAAGTTGTTTCAATTGCTCCTGACTGTGGTTGCTAGCTATATACAGAATAAAGCTAAACATAGTCTCATTAGAATCATTAAGTCAGGCTACCTCCCACTCCCACAGACACTGCAAGGGTACAAACACAGGATCAATGCCTTTCCTTAGTAGCTTAAGTCAAACTGTCAAGAAGAATCTTGTTTGGAAGTATACTTGTTTTATTGCTTTTCCTTTTTTCCCCTCTATTGTTCACATCACTTTATCTGTGAATAAAATCAACATTACATTTAGTGACTCGCTACTAACCATCAATCATATTTTTTTTACAACCTCTTGATTGGACAGTAGACCCAGCCTAAATGATTGGACAGACCTCTTGTCCATCATGGGAAATTAAGCTACTTTATTCCCCCCCTGCCCACCCCACTGGACTTGACTCAGTTCCCCCAAAATACTGGTGTGCAGCGACTCGGAAATCAGTATTTCCAAGTCTAGTAGTATGGTATATTTAAACACAATACACAGAGACCGAACAGGTTAGATATGGTATAAATACGGTATAATGACAAGCCTGTATGTTGAATCACTGTCGTATGCTGCAGCATCTACCTTGTGGCACTAATAATTATTTTCCTGTATAAATATTTTACAGATAACCACATGTATCAGATGACATAAAATATATATATATTTTTTTTTTAACTTGATTTTCTAGGTTGCCTGATCAGTTGTCTTATAATTTTGTGTTTTCCAAATTTTTTTAAAATATATAATACATACACTGGTCAGCCACAAAATGAAAACCACCTGCCTTAAATCATGCAGCTCTTATACATCATGGAATGGATTCCACGAGACCTCTGAACATGTCCTGTAGTATCTGGCACATTAGCAGCAGATCCTGCAAGTTGCAAGGTGAAACTCGATGGATCACATTTTGTTCTTCCAGTACATCCTACATATGCTAAATCTGGGGGAAATGGAAAAATGTGAACTGTTTGTCATATTCCTCAAACCATTCCTGAACAATTTTTGCAGAGTGGCATGCTGCATTATCCTCCAAGAGGTCATCAGAGAACCCCATTGCCATAAAATGGTGTATATGGTCTGCTACAATAACTGGGTAGGTGGTACATGTCAAAGTAACATCCACATGAATGCCAGAACCCAATGTTTCCCAGCATAACATGGCCCAGAGCATAACACTGCCTCCGCCGGCCTGCCTACTTTTCATAGTGAATACTGCCGTCTCTTCTCCAGGTAAATGACACACACACCTGACCAGTGCCGGTGCAAGGATTTTGGGCTTCAAAGGCAAAGATGTGTTTTGCCACCCCTTCCTCCCACCCCAAAAAAGAAAATGCGTCTTCACCTGTGTGTCTTGTAACCCACGTTTTGAATTTCTTATCACCTTTAGCGTATTTTATCCCCCCTTTACTATGTCTTACATCCTTTTGTGTGTCTCTTACAACTCCCCTTGTGTATCTCTTTCTTTCCTCCAGCCCCTTTCTGTGGCTCTCTCCCCTCAGTACGTTTTGTGTGTCCCTCCCCCCCAGTGCCATTTGTGTGTATTATTTTCCCATGCCTAATAGACATAGATATATAGCAACACACAGCCATACAGGCACACAGTTAAAGGGATATGCAGGCACGCAATCAAACACACACAGCCATAGCAATCTACATAGACAAGCTGTCACATATTCATCCGCTTACAAAAATGTGGTTAATGACATTTACTGTCCACACGGGAAAAGTTGTGCCGAGCAACAACCAAATCCACAGAAGGGTTAATGCTGAGCAGCAATTATGCAAATGAGATCTGGTAACTGCCTTGGGGGTCAAAGGCCGGTTACAGCCTATCAGACCTAGAGGAGGTATTTAGGCCCAGTTCTCATCCTGCTCAGTGCCCTGTCGTGGTTTCCATTGTGGTTGTCCGAGAGCGTGTTATTGATTCTGGTTATTCTGGTTATTTGACTTTGGCATTGTTTTTGACTTCCCTGTTTTCTGGCATCCCTGACTCCTGGCTTTTCCTTATCGCTGTGTCTCTTTCTGTATCCCTTGACCTCGGCTATTCCTGACTATTCTTTGGTACGTTAGTCCGGCCATTCTAAGGTCCGGTATACGTTACCTATCAGTCCTCTGTGTTACACAGTTCTATGTGCTGGATCATTCTGTAATCCTGACACAAGCAGGGCTGGTGCAAGGATTTTTGCCGCCCTAGGCAAAAGTAAAGTTTGCCACCCCCCACCCCCATGTGACATCACAATGCCCCACCAATATGATCTGCCATGTTAACTAACGCCAGTGCTGCAGTGCCGCCATGTTTACATTAAAAGGCCTGCAGGGACAGGCTATAGACACCAGAACCACTACATTAAGCTGCAGTGGTTCTGGGGACTATAGTGTTTCTTTAATGTGAGGTAAATTAGAGATTAGTGCCACGAATAATATAATAGATTGCCTACTTACAACCAGATCAAGGATGATGATGGGCTCTAGCTGCAGTCTGGTGTAGAACAGGCTCTGTGGAGGCGGTTTGTAACTGTGGTCACAAAAATCAAAGTTCTGGGAGAACAGGAAGCAGCTCAATTTTTTTGGGGCCCTTTACACAGCTCAAGGTCTGGGTCCCAAGGTCCGCCTTCATGTTCCACCAATGAGTTTGTTCAAAGGGGGTGGAGTGTGTAGGGGATGTCCTGATATGTGTGTAAGGAATGCATTGTGTGAATCTGTGTTTGTATGTGTAAGGGCTGCAAGGTGTGTTTCTGTGTATGTACACAGGATGCGGTGTGTGCGTCTGTAAGGGATGCATTGAGTGTGTGTAAGGGGTGCATTGAGTGTGTGAAAGGAATGCATTGTGTGTTTCTGTGTGTGTAAGGGATGCATTGTGTGTAAGGGTTGCATTGCTTGTGTATGTGTGTCTGTGTGTGTAATGCATTGTGTGTTTTTCTGTGTGCAAGGGGTGCATTGTCTTTGTGTGTAAGGGGTGCATTGTGTGTGATGGATGTCAATCTCTCTCCCATCTCTTGTCCTCTCTTCTCCCCCCCTCCCTTGTCCATCTATTCTCCCCCCTTGTCACTCTCTTCTCTCCTCCTCCCCCCACTCTCATTCCCCCCCCGTCAATTTCCCCCCTGTTAATTCCCCCCATGTCAATTTCCCCCCAATGTCAATTGCTTTCTCCCCCCCTCCCCTACCTCTGTTGTAGCATGGCCGAGCTCTGTATGGTCTGCGGGTACAGGGAGCTTTTGTTTCCTGTACCCAGCCGGACTAACAGCTGCCTAGTCCGCCTGACAGGTAGCGCCGGCCCTGCATACAAGTGCGTCATACAAACACAGACATACAGACACACACACAAAGATATTAAGAAACTGTCATACAGAGACATTCAGATACTGTCATACAGAGACATACAGACACAACATAGTCTTATAGTCATACAGATACAGGCATACAGAGCAGGGGTCTGAGAAAATTTAGGGATTGTAGTGGGGGGATAGATGCTGGAGTTTGAGGGAAGTGTAGTAGGGGAGTTAGGGGCTATGGAGGGGACAGGGGCTGTAGGGGGAAGGCATGGCATGTAGAGGGGGAAGGCAGGGGCTGTGGTGAAGGGTGCAAGGGCTGTGGTGATAGGCGCAAGGGCTGAGAGGGGGGACAGGGGCTGTGAGGGGATGGACAGGGGCATTGAGGGGCGACATGGGCTGAGGGTGGGACAAGGGCTGTGAGGGGGGGCAGGGGATATAGAGGGGGCCACATGGACTGTATAGAGGGACACAGGGGCTGTAGATGAGGGCACAGGGGCTATAGAGGGGGGACAGGGAGGGACAGGAGAAGAAGGGGGCAAGGGCTAAGAGTGGAGACAAGGGCTGAGAGGGTTGAAAGGGGAGGACAAGAGCTAAAAGGGGGGGGACAGAAACTATAGAGGGGGCCAAATGGGCTGTAGAGGGGGACACAGGGGCTGTAGATAAGGACACAGGGCTCTGGAGGGCATGGGAAGAAGGAGGCAGGGGATGAAGAAGGTGGGGCAGGGGCTGAGAGGGGGTCAGGGGCTGTGAGGGGGGACAGGGCTGTGAGGGGTGACAGAGGCTGTCAGGGGACAGGAGCCAAAAGGGGGCAGGAGCTAAAATGGGAGGACAACTGCTATAGAGGGGCCACATGGGCTTTAGAGGGGGACATAGGGGCTGTAGATGAGGGCACAGGAGCTATAGAGGGGGGTCGGGCGAAGAAGGGGGGCATGGGCTGAGAGGGAGATAGAGGCTGAGAAGGGGGCAGGAGCTGACAGGGGGGAAGGAGCTAAAAGGGGGGCAAGAGCTGAAAGAGGGGAACAGGAGCTGAAAGGGGGGGCAGTAGCTGAGAGTAGGGTGGACAGGATATGCCACATGGGCTGTAGAGGAGGGGGACAGGGGCTGTGATGGGGGCCCAGGTGTGTAGAGGAGTTCACAGGGGTAGTGGTTGGGCTGCTTAAATTTTTTTATTTTTTTTTTAAATTTGAATTAAAAAAGTGTATTCCCCCCTCCCTAAAGCTTAACTTGGGCTAGGGAGAGATGGGACAGGATCTGGAGCCTGCAGACTGCAGTCAGTGAAGTCGGCCAGCATCTCCTGATGATGTCAGGATAAGGGGGTGTGG